ATTATGCTGAGGTATGTTCCTGTTATCCCTGATTTCTCCAAGACCTTTACAATGAAGGGGTGTTGGATTTTGTCAAATGCTTTTTTTGGGATGATGATATTTTTTCCTCAGTCTGTTTATATGGTGGATTACATTGATGGATTTTCGTATGTTGAACCATCCTTGCATCCCTGGGATGAAGCCTACTTGATTATGGTGGATGATTTCTCTGATGTGTTCTTGGATTCAATTTGCCAGTATTTTATTGAGAAGTTTTGCATCAATGTTCATGAGGGATATTGGTCTGTAGTTCTCTTTCTTAGTTGTGTCTTTGTGTGCCTTGGGTATCAAGGTTATTGAAGCCTCATAAAAAGAGTTTGGCAATGACCCTTCTGCTTCTATTGTGTGGAATACTTTGAGGAGAATTGGTATTAGCTGTACCTTGAATTTCTGATAGAATTCTGCACTGAAGCCATCTGGCCCTAGGCTTTTTTTTGTTGGGAGACTACTGATGACTGCTTCAATTTCATTAGGGATGATTATAGGTCTATTTAAGTTGTTTATCTGTTCTTGATTTAATTTTGGTAAGTGAAATCTGTCAAGAAATTGTCTATTTCCTTTAAATTTTCAAATTTTGAGGAATATAGGTTTTCGAAGTATGACCTGATGATTCTCTGGATTTCCTCTGTGTCTGTTGTTATGTCCCCCTTTTCATTCCTGATTTAATTAATTTGCATGTTCACGCTCTGCTGTTTGGTAAGTTTGGATAAAGGTTTGTCTATCTTGTTGATTTTCTCGAAGAACCAACTATTCGTTATATTGATTCCTTGTATTGTTCTCCTAATTTCCATTTTATTGATTTTAGCCTTCAATTTGATTATTTCCTGGCATCTGTTCCCCCAGGTGTATTGGCTTCTTTGTTTTGTAAAGCTTTCAGTTTTCCCGTTAATTCTCTAGTGTGATTATTCTCCTGTTTCTTCATGTGGACACTTAGCCCTATGAACTTTCCTCTTAGCACTGTTTTCCAAGTGTCCCATAGGTTTGGGTATGTTGTGTCCACATTCTCATTGAATTCCAGGAAATCTTTAATTTCTTTTTTTATTTCTTCCTCGACTTGTGCAACTGGGTGTTACTTAATTTCCATGAGTTTGTAGGTTTTTCTGTAATTCATGTTGTTGTTGAATTCTAACTTTAAAGCATGGTGGTCTGATAAGATACAGGGGGTTATTTCAATTTTTTGTACCTGTTGAGGTTTGCTATGTTGCCAAGTATGTGGTCGATTTTAGAGAAAGTTCCATGTGGTGCTGAGAAGAAGTTAAATTGTTTTTGGATGGAATGTTCTATAGGTATCTGTTAAGTCCAATTGTGCCATAACTTCGATTAGTTCCTTTGTTTCTTTGTTAAGTTTCTGTCTGGTGCTCCTGTCCAGTGGTCAGAGTGGGATGTTGAAGTCTCCCACTATAAGTGTGTGTGGTTTTATGGTGTGAGTTGAGTTTTAGTAATGTTTCTTTCACAAACATGGACACCTTTGTATTTGGGGCATAAATGTTTAGAATTGAGACTTCATCCTGATGGATTTCTCCTGTGATGTGTAGGAAGTGACCTCCTTCATCTCTTTTGATTTATTTTAGTTTAAAGTCCAATTTGTTGGATATTAGGATTGTAACCCCTGCTTGTTTCTTGGGTCCATTTGAATGGAAAATATTTCCCCAACCTTTAATTCTTAGGTACCGTCTGTCTTTGAAGATGAGGTGTGTTTTTTGTATGCAGCAGAGGATGGATTCTGTCTTCTTATCCATTCTGCTAATCTGTGTCTTTTTATAGGCAAGTTAAGACCATTAATGTTGATGGATATTAATGACATTGATTGTTCATTCTTGTTTGTTTTTAATTTGGTGATGGTGGTGAAATTATGTGTGGGATTATATCCCTTTTTCCTTTTGGCTGTTGGTAAACTGGGATTATCTATTGCCTATATTTTCTGGTTGTAGTTAACTTCCTTGGGTTGCAGATTTCCTTCCAGAAAGTTCTGTAGGGCTGGATTGGTGGATATGTATTGTTTTAATCTGGTTTTGTCATGGAATATCTTGTTTTCTCCATCTATATTGATTGAAAGCTTTGCTGGGTATAGTAGTCTGGGCTGGCATCCATGGTCTCTTAGTGTAGGTAGAATATCTATCCAGGACCTTTTGGTTTTCAGAGTTTCCATCGAAAAGTCAGGTGTGATTCTGATAGGTTTCCCTTTATAAGTTACTTGACCTTTTTCCTTTGCTGCTCTTAATATTTTCTCTGTGTTCTGTATGTTTGGTGTTTTGATTATTATGTGGCGAGCAGACCTTTCTTTTTCGTTCAGTCTATTTGGTGTTCTGTAGG